GGCGTGTGGCACCGCTTTCAGTTCAGTACACCCTATCCTAAGTGTGTGTGCGTGTGCGTAGGTAGAAGAGGGATTGAATATATGATCATATTTCATTAGACTGGGGGATTGTTTTAGCCCTTGCATTTTGAGCCGGTGAAGCTGGGACGGGTCGGATTGCTGGGCTTGGTTCGTGAAACACGACGTCCGACCGCGAGGTCATGCTCTTGGTGAACAAGCGCTTGCCGCACCGGTGCCACCGTGGCGCCCCAAGGGCCTTCAGCATGCCCAGCTTGACGAGTGGTGGAGCCTTAGCGGCCCTGGAAGCCTTGGCGAAGCCAAATCAGATGATGGCACTTCCGGAGGAGTACCGCGAGACACCCCTCGTGAATGGAAGTGTAGGCGCACAGAAGGGGGGTGATTGGCAGCGTGAGCATGAGTCTGATGTTGTTGTGAACGTCCTGCTCAACCAACCGTACTGCCCTGTGGCATGTCTTCGCTTCATGTAGGGCTCCATAGCCACTGCACCTCGCATGTGCACTTGCCCCCCAAAAGGCAGCCTCCCAAGAACCTTAGTTTAGGTGTCAGTTTTTTCACCTTGTGGGCGTCTTAATGGCATTCAATTGGAGGACTTTGCAGATCTTCCATGTCTGGCGGCTTTTCATGACACGTCCGGCTACGTGCGACGCCGCGGAGCTTTCCAGGGAGCTTCAGACCTCCCGTCCTCGGCCAGGCGTCGTGGTAGGCTTTGAGACCTCTCCGGAGCTTCCCGACGATGCGACCGCCTACCCCGTGGTGGAGTTTGCCAAGGGCCTCCGTGTCACCGTCACACCGGTGACGGACAGTGGGGAGTTGGGCTTCTTGGGGCAGTGCCTCAGCAGCAGTGAGATGGGGCATTTTGCTCTGAGTCTGACAAAGCCAACTTATATAAGTGATCTGAATACAAAGGCGGTGAACTCTCCGGAGCCTATCAGAGAAAAGCTTGCTGCTGTTGTGATGTGTTACGTGCAAGCGTTTGAAACATTTTTGCAACTGTTGCAGTGCTTTGCTTGCCTCTCTATCTTATCACTCTTACTGTAGGTGAATGCGCCTTTGCATTAACCGCATGATGTCACCCATGCATTGGGCAAAAGTTCCAGTTCGAGGGCTCCCTGCCCCCCTCTGTTATAGACCATGGTGGGAGAACGTGGTAATCGCCTTTGGCAGAATTAAGGGAGCAAATCTGCTTTTCGGATGATGTTTGACTCAGATTGGGCCAAGTTGGTTGTGGTTCGTGATCCATTGGTTGTGCTCAGCAAACTTGGACAAGATAGCGGTGGCGGGGGCAAAACATCGTTGAAAGCGACACCAACAAAGATGAAGGATGCACTGAGTATACATGTTCCGACCCTTGTGTCATTTGTGAAGGGAGTTGGAGCTCAAATGAGGAAAAACAACAATGTGAGCAATAAAACCATCGGATGACACAAGCAACAGCATGCAGCTTGAAGCATTTCAAGAATTGTGACCGGTATATATGTGCTGCATTTCCTTGACAAGACCACCCACCCGACTTTGTGTGATTGCGTTCTTCACACCAAGCAGAACCAAACAAATCACAGCTCACGCTGCGACACATTGCTGCCCCTGACGAAGCCCGAAGCAACCTCCATGTTTTGTACACGCGCGCGAGACCGATTGAAGACTCAAGATGCTTGACGAAATCAATGATGGCGCTTGCAACCGGGCTCTCCAAATCGATGCGTAAGACTATGATGACTATGAGCCTTTTTCGCTAGCTAGGCCTACTTGTCGCACGACGTCTCCTCATGCGAGGTGGCCTTTTGTGGAAAGACTCCAAGACTGGCTCCGTCCTATTTGTTATAGAGGGCAGCAGATCAAAGATGATCAAGGTCTGCATCTGCTCAAGACAGAAATGACCAAGGGCATTTTCTTATTTTTTCTGTGGCATTTGCCTGTCTGGGGGGTGACAAGTTTTTAAAGCTGTGCATCAAAATGCCTCCACGAGTTGTCCGGAAATGGCAGCAACAGTGCGGCCAGCGAGGGGCCGGAAGCAGCTGCTGGCCTCTCCTGTCGCATAGTAACCAAATTCACCTGACACAGACTCAGCCACGTGCGACGTGATCCGATCGATGCTCATTCAGGGATGTTCAATTTTTGACGCTGTGATGAAGCCATCGTTGTGTAGGTCGTCAGCAAAGCCACCCATGAACATACATTGTGCAGAAATATGCGTACATGAACTTTCGACAACCTCGGTCGCACATTTCTCCACCTTGGTCCGCGACGCCGAGAATTGGCCCGCAGAAAGGTACGAGCGGCGGCAACTGCCCTTGAAGCTGGCGTGGGCGTTGACGGTGCACAAGATGCAGGGTTTGACCCTGCGGAGTGGGGAGCTCAAACTTGCCCGGGTCTTCGAGCCTCGACCTGTCTGGATGCCACAACATCCTGTCTGGATGTCTGAATGCCAAAAAAGAACTCATGTTGTTTGTGGACAGATTCTGGCCTCCCAGGGCCTCCAAACTCAAGTCAACCCAGCAACTTCAACTTTGCGAGGTCTCGCCACCTAAAATCTAAAATTGACCATCTTGGTTTGTGAAAAGACGAGCCCAAGAAGAGCCTTCAAACATCTCAGTAACTTCTTTATTCTAGTATTCTAGCCAAGATTATCATCGAAGTTCAGTGGATTTTGAGGACACTGCTCAACTCTACGTGGCCTTGTCGCGCTTCCAATCCCTGGACTCGGTCGCCATCCGCTCCCTGCCCGTGCGCTGGCCGGTGCCCTGCGAGCGCGCCCAGCGGGCGCGCGCGTTCCATGCGCAGCTGGAGAAGGAGAGGCGAGAGAGGTGGCGCTGGGGTATTTGGCATCCATAGTTTCCTTTCCCAAGACGTGTGGGAGATGGCCCAAGTGGAGAATTTTGGAACCCAGAGCCCACCACAGATGGTACGCCTGACAAAGACAATGTATGTTTTGACAAAGATTATAGCTCGCCCTGCAACACGGCCCCGAAGCCCGTCATGAGTAGAGTCCTCCGAAAAAACAGAAAGCCAACCAAGGCCTAGTGTGAGGGATTTGCTTTTTGAAGATCTGGGCTTTGTTGCGGGGGCCTCGGGACTGAGCAAGACAGAGTCCCCTCCCTGCCCGTCCATGCACTCTGCGTGTAGTATGGTATGAGTGAGTGTTCTTAAATTTTCCACCATAAAATGCAAAGCGATCAACACTTTCACACCGCAAATGTAGCTGCCAGCTGCGGCAGGACATGGGCCTTGTGGAGACAAGCCCTGTGGTGGCCGAGGTGGGCGATTGCAGCTGAGCAGCTTGGGGGGTTTTAAAGTTTAGGGTGGGGTGTGCAATTTCCAACCTTGATGCCAATCGGCACTTGGAAACACAGTGCAACACTCTGCTGGGGGTTTTGTTAGCACAGAGCCCGCGTGTACATGCGCACAGTGGACCACTGGGGCAACGGTCCCGCGCGTTGTGCTGGGATCTGTGAGCAAAGAGCCGTGCTGTGGCTACGGGTGGGTGGGAGGTTTCAAGACTCCATGCTGTAATAGCTTCTTGTTACTACTAGTAAGGCACTTGTTCCTAGAAGCGCGGCGATGCACTTGTTCCTAGTAGCTTCTTGTTAGTAAGGCACTTGTTCCTAGAAGCGATGCACTTGTTCCTAGTAGCTTCTTGTTACTACTAGTAAGGCACTTGTTCCTAGTAGCGAACCTTGTTACTACTAGTCTAGTAAGGCACTTGTTACTAGAAGCGATGCACTTGCTATACAAAGCTTTATTTCAAGTTTTTCTCCTCTGAACATCAAGGTTCCAGGCTGGTCAAGGAGTCAGGAGTGGATCATGCTGGTTTGGCTCGAGAGCTGCAAATCTGGACATCCCGCAGGCACATAGCAACCTGGAAACGAGAGAGCATACAGGTCCGAGAGATTTCGACACTTCGATCTAAAGGTTCTTAGCTGTTAGAACTCAAGTTCTTGGCACCACACCACCTCATGGTGACCCTCCGTGGCTGTGCTCTCACTTTCCGCTCCTTTGGTCTCACAGTGCAGACGGGTCATGTTACCGCTCCTTTGCTGTTTGCTCTAGCGAGATGTGCGTATTTTTGGGCTCAGGTGTGGTTGCGCAGCCCAAGAGCCTTGCAGTTTTCGGTCAGCCGATGGATGGGACTTTAAATTGAAGGTGGCACTACACGACCGCGCCCCCAAAGCGGCTCCAAAGGGCAAAGGTGCAAGCAACTTCCCCACCACCAGCGCCACCAAAAGCAGAAGAGGCCGAACGATTCCAACCTCGCATCCAGCAGGATAGCTGGGACACTGCTAGCACCGCAGCACCGGCAAGGACTTCTGAGCTGATAAAACTTCTTTAATTAGCGGCTCAGAAGGGAAGACTCACTGAGGAGCTGAGGAGGATCGCTTTCCTGAGTTGACGAGTTGGTTGAGGTCAGCAGGACCGTGAGAACTGAGAGCTGATGAAATACAGCGGGCTTCTTTCGACCCCAGCTGACTCACCGAGGTCGACGACTTGGTCCAGATCTTGGCCCAACATCGGCATGTGAAACATCCCCCTTGGGCGTGGCTGGCGTCGCTGGAGCGGGATGGAGTGAAGCGGTTGGACGTCTCGTTCTGGGACTCCATTGGCTGCAAGAAAGCTGGTGAGAAGTTGCTCCCGGCAAAGGGAATTGCCCAACCGCCCGGTACCTACGACCTAGGTGCTTCCACTGGCCGTGCGCAGATGAAGAAAATAGTTTCACTTAGATAGATACAGTAGATCTTGAAAGGAGGCCGTGCAACGGAGAAAAGATCAGAGCCAGAGATTCTTGCATGTTCAAAGCGGTTCTTTTTGGGTGTTTTGTGTGTCTCGCGGTATCTCGTGGCCTCTTTTGTTTGGAAACCTTCCGTCCGCCCATCGAGGCAGGTGAGAACCCCGCACTGACCACCGTGCGCTTGAGTGGAGAGGAGCCCGAGACCGAGGCGCGGGGTCGGTCGACCGAGACCCGAGTCCGGGAGGCTTGGAATGGTTCGGTTTTGTGTGAAGAGGTTGGAGAAGAGGTGAAAGGTGTTCTGGTTGGCAACATCATCGGAGTTGCGGTTCGAAAGATTTTGTTGAAAAGGTGTGGTGTAGAAAAAGAAGAGCTTTTGCTCTGCCGGAGCTCTGGCGATGAAAGAGGTTGGGCGGGAGCAGGACGACGTGCGGGGGTCCTGCGCTGAGGTTTCCAGACACATTTATATTATATAAAGGAATGGACTTAAGCTGCTGAAGCTTTAAAGAATTGACAATATAAAATAAATATCTGATGCTTCAATGACAAGCCCAAACTAACCCATGGAATTAGGATGTTGGGGGAGTTGATTCTTTTATGTGTGTATGAGAGCAGGCAATTAACTCAACAGGTTGGTGACACCTTGCTGCGCCCGGAGATATCATTGGAGGGCGAAGTCCGCCAGAAAGGCCATCGTTACGCGAAGCCTGCTGCCGGCAAACGGCAAACGGCCAAGAATAACTACGGAGCCTGGGCTCAATAGCTTGAGAGGGTTGAGGATTTCACAGGGCGGCCCTGTCACTGCCCCGCCACTGCCTGCCAGGGCGACCCGTTCTCCCGGAAAGTCATCTTCGGACTCCTTCAAGGCTCGTGACCGCGGATCTCGCCGACCGGAGCGGATCTCCCGGCCGGTAGCTGTTTGGCCCGGTTGCGTCGGTGTTTCGGGAGCGGATCTGATCCACCACCCGTCTTTCCCAGGTGCGGGTTGTAGGCTGGGAAAACGAAGAAACCCTCGGACCCCTCATCCCGGACTCACCGGAACCCAGGCTTTGAGGCGGAGCGCTGCAAGGCTGGAGGCGGGAAGGGCCATGGAATCAGCTCGAGTCCTTGGTTCTGTGTAGACTTGAAACTGCTTTTTTGTTAAAGGGTTCCTATCTTTAGTTTGGAACAGGTCTTTCCACGCTGGCGTGTGAGCCATGCTGGCATGACACAGCAGGAAGCGAAACAAATCACGGCATGTAGCGGTACCCAGACACTTCAAGACACCGAAGCCACTGTACAAAGGTCAGCTGTCTGGATTGCCCTCCCTGGTTGAGAATTCTTGTGGATCAAGCCTGGCTATGGCTACAATTCAGTAGATATCTTCCAAACTTCTGTTTGAGGTCTAAATCGTATCTCCAATTTCATTGACCATCCTTTGCACATGAAGACTTGAGACTTGAGACGAATAGATTTGACCAGACGCACCTCTTTCGTTATGGGTGCTGAATGGTGCTGAGACATCATGAGACCATGGAGGTGATGAGAGCCAACCCCTTACAGGACGTCCCCGCCCATTTTTTTGGGAGGTCACACGTTGGAGAAGGAGGTCTGGGAAAGCATCGTGGTGCGGTTCCCAAGGCCCACGCGTGTGGCCACCGGACTGCCCCGGACTCCATCAGACTCCACGCAAACGTCGCACATGCCTCCGTCGTTGGTGTCGGTGGGTTCGGACACCGGTCGTGCGTCGCGTCGCTCGTGCGTTGGTCGACGGATTGGTCGAAGCTCGTGGCATTGGCACCTGGCCCGAAATCCGCAGCCGGATGCAGCCGGCTTAGTTATCTTGCCCACGCCGAGGCCAAGATGGTGATGAAGACCAACAAAGCCATGAAGGCCACAACGACTGACTGTCTGTCTGTCACATTTTGATTATGCAAGCTATATAGCCTAAATTCTTTGCTTCCCAGGCATGTGCTTGGATCAGGTAGGCCACCTTCACCAGGGTCGGGCATTTCAAGATCCATCATTAAACGCGGTCCTCGATGTTTTTCGCGGAGCATGCAAGCGGTTCTGACCCTTGGTAAGGAAGCTGGTCTTCTGCCAGTCCCCCCTCCTTTTTGAAGAGTCCGGTTGCCGTTTTTTTTTTGGAGACGAACCGAGACATTGGTCCTGAACTCGTCAAAACACAACACAGGAAACCAGCACTTCCTCTGTGAGTGTGCTGAGTTTTGCTGGCCTCACTGCAGGGCCCGAGAACTTGGCTGTGTCGAGACCTGTGGTATTTGCACAGCCTAGTCATGAGCCTAGTCATATGGAACCGAATCATCTAACTGGAGTGGATCCTCATAGGCCCATAGCAAAACTCCGTGACTTCCTCACCTCAGCTTTAAAGGCCGGGCCGATCAACCGGTCAAACAGCCCCGATTTCAGGAGGCGCTCGCCATGCTGAACGACTGGATTGGCCCGCCGGTGCTGGCGGTGCTCGAGGAGCGGACTGAAACCACGATTGGAGTGGCGTTGGGTGACCATCTTGTGGCGTTGGGTGACCATTAGGAAGGATTAGGTCTGCTATGATGCTAAAAATACATCACGCACATATATAGATATAGAATGATATAGATATGTATATATATACAGCTATACATATATAGAGTTCTGTTATAAATATATATGTCTACATTATATATATATATGATTATGGCGATCCAAAGTCATCCACGCAGAAGGGTTTGGTCAAACACCATCGAATTGAAGGTGGGGAGGCGGGAATAGATCAAGGCCAGCACCAACTTGCAAAACCATGCGAAACCAGCATGGCTGGATACGTGCATGGAGAAGAATGGGTCCATGCGGTAGTTGGGTGCAAAACCGGGTGCTGTTGTTGAGCATCTGCGGGGTGTCGGGGGTACAGATTGCGGTGTTGCATGCCAAATTGTCATAGCTCATCCATGCGAGTTGATGGTTTCGCTCGAGGACTGCAAAGCTGCGGGCACCAAGCAAAGGCAGATGGATTGGAATCTGTGATGGTAAGACTCGCAGCGCCACCGTACCAGATCGATGTTCATCAAGCAGACAAGTTTGTTTGGGTGAATCGGCTGCGAACGAGTCATTGGTTTGGGTGCGGGGCACAGACGAATTCCGAATCCACCGTCTGGGCACCCGTGTAGGCACAGCGGGACATCCCGTGGTTTTGAAGGAGAGAACACCGGCGGGTCCCGCCGAAGGTCCACCGGGGAGGTCGTTGTTCGGTCGGTCCATGGACCGTTGGGTCGCTGGGCTCGGTGGGCTCGGCGCCGAAGATCCAGGGATCATCCTCCAATGAAACACTTTGGAGCAGGGGCATGCACAGAAAGGGAGAGATCATGGGTGTACATTTGAATCCTCACCCTAGCTGGGCCCTGGCTGGGTAGACTGGTCACTCACGTGCCGATGTCCCGAAACCTGCGGGGGCGGCACCCACGCCTGGGAGATCACGCCGCCCACGGTGCTCTCGGCAGGTTCGCGGCGGCGCTGCAGCACATGACGACGGCCACGATGAGCTACCACCCCTCTGAGGTTAAGAAGGGCCAGCCAAGTGAAATGATGGACATGTCACACATGATCACACATGTCACATGTCCCAGACAGACAGTTCTTTTTGCTTCTGGGGAGCGTTCGGGTTCTTTTTCTTCACAGCATAGACGTCGCACCAACGGCCCATCGATCCACTGCACCGATTCGAGGCCCTCACGCTGGATGACGTCTCCATTTTCGCGTACGTGAATGGAGCGATCAGTTCCTTCAGGCCATAGCAGGCATAGCACGGGTATCACCCCCCATGAACATCCTCATCAAATCCTTTCCAGAACCCTGGAACCCTATCTATGAGGGTTGCTTGGAGCTCATTTTTCCGATGTACTGAAGGAGAAACACCTTGACGGCTTGATTGCACTGGCGCCATGGCACTGGCACCCCGGAGATGTCTTTTGTAGTGGGGTCCACTACTAAACCAATCTAAACCACCGACCTTGGGGATTGTGCCATCTACTCCGATGGCCCAACATCAACAAATGCTTTTGGATGCTGCTTTTCAACGGGCTGCCAGCCACCTGTCGTCGAGTTTTCGGTCGACAGCTTTGGCCACTTTGCCAGACTTGGCTCGCTCGCTCGCTCGCTCTCTCTCTCTCTCTGTGTGAAGGAGCCCAAAGACTGTTGGGCTTTTCGGGTCTCCGTTGGTAATTAACATCCGCCGTGGCTATGTGTAGAAGATTGGCTGAGGGGTCCAGCAGCGGTATCGTCCTTCCTCAGCGTATCCCTGTGGGACGGCTGCGTTGTAGCCAGATGCTGCCGAGACCGAGAGAGAGAGAGAGAGAGAGAGGGAGAGAGGGGAAGAGAGAGGGAGACGGAGAGGGAGAGGGAGAGGGAGAGGGAGAGGGAGAGCAAGCTCATCTACCCACCTGAACCCCCCGTCGAGGCGCGGCAGCTTCGCGACCTTTGGGCGGGATTTGGGCGGCATGCTCAAGGAGCTGGTGCCCAGCGAGGCAAGAATGGCGGCAGATCCGAGAGTGGGTCGTTTGGGATTTGCGGGGTGGACAGCGAAAAGAGCCCGATGGCAGACTGTTCTCATTGGGTGGCAAGCTCCAGTCCCTCAGCTACCAGCCTGGCGATGTTTGCGGAAAAGATTGAGTTCTTCGCTTGGATGTGAGGGCTGGACATGTTGTTCCAATTTGGCTTGTGGCTTGTGCTTGGGGCCAGCCAGCAGGCCAGACCATGCCCTCGTTATACAGTTGAAATCCGATGTTAGTTTCAACTGCACAAGAACCTCCTAGCCATTCCAATTGGTCGAAAACAATGCAAAGAGGCATTTGCAAAATTAATGGTTTCTTCTCTGGTGAAGGAGAGCTTCTTCAGAGTATGGGTGATGCTCTGTCCGGGCGACACATCGCCGTCGTCGCCCGTCGGTCCGGCTGTGTTGGTTCCAGGCCATCACGACCGAGTTGCAGGAGGCGGCCGGAACACTTTCAACTCCAACGGTCCATTTTTGCCGAGTGACACGAGCGTGAGAGGAGCGTGAAACTACTCCATGCATCATGGAACATGGAACATCATGGAACCAAGAGACGGTCGAAAGTTTCTGAACCTTCAATGGGTTGCTGGATGGCATGCCAATGAATCCCAGGCAAGTCCATTGGTTATTGGCAGTTATTGGGTCGTGGGAGGAATCTTTTTTGCATTGTACGGAGTCGTGTAGCCTTAGACTCAGACAAGTGCTGGATGAGGCAGTAGTCATCTTGCCATCACTGCTCCGGTTTGGTTGGCCATGGAGCTGGAGCTCAAAGAATGACGTCCAGTCCTTGCCGAACCATGAGCCCATCCGCTTCCATATGTGCTTTTGGGACGGTAGTGTGATTCCGTGACCTTTGAGCCTTTGAGCTGCTCTGGCACTTGAGCATTTGCTGCAGGAAGCTCCTCGGCCATCGCGAGGGCCCCAGATGTGGGGCCGGGATGAGACAGTCTTCACCGAGTTGGGAAGGGTGGAATCCTGGGTGAAGTAGGTGGGATGCTGTGTGGGTGGTAGCTGGGTAGGTGGGACGATCGAATGCGCGAGTTCGAAGCGCAGCTGACTGCTAGTGGCGCCACGATGCTTCAAGAGGTTCGGTTCGTCGTGAAACCTCTCCCTCCAAGCACGTGGAAAACAGGTGATGAGAGAGAGAGAGAGAAACATAATTATTTATATATAACTTTGTCGTGTTTTGTGGATGCTCTTGAACCCCTAAGCCCTAAACGGCCCTAAACCTTTCCAAAGTCGCTTGAAGCAAAAGCTGAGATCTTCATGACCTGCACAGATGTTCAGGCGGAAACAGGCGGATAAACTCTTATATGCTCATTGTGGGATTCATGAATGTCAGAAGTTCAACTACGACATACAAGCGAAGCCCTTCATGTCATGAGGTCATGGAGTCATGAGGTCATCCAGAAAACACATACCAGAAGCAAGCAATCAAGGCAACCCGGTCAATCACTCCTTTTCGACGTCTTCTCCTCCCGTTTGAGCGTGCTTGCGCGTTTGAGCCGAGCCGCCGAGCCGCTGCCGAGGGGGTTGAAGCTTCGACCGGTGGAATGACGGGCAAAAAGGAAGAGCGGTGCCAGGAGCGCGTGGAGGAGTGCGGGGCTTGAGGTATTTCGGGTTGACTTGGACGACTCCCCAGATGTATTTTAAAGTTTAAGCTAATTTAATTTAATGCTAATTGGTTACTACTAGTAAGGCACTTGTTACTACTAGCGAGGCACTTGTTACTAGTGACATGAAGAGGTGATGAGCAAAGTCTTGCTTCCCACCAGGTCCTCTGAACATTGGGCGTATTTGCTCATCTTGGATTGCTGACCTGGTGTTATGCAAAAGTGACTTTGAGGCCGTTTGGTCTATCAAGTCAATTGTCATTTCTGCGTCACGCATGCACCCATGATTACTTTGAAGTGGAACGGGCCTGTTCCATAGACATCCTTTTTGGTCAAAAGAGTCAGCAGACCTTAGTAGAGGTGATGCATGAAACGGTTGGCCATTCTGGCCATGACAGTTCCTCGGCAATTGTTGCCATGATCGGCCGGAGCATGGCTGGATGAGGTGACGAGGCAAGCCCGTGGATTGGGGCGACCGGCGACCGGCGAGCCGCGGTCGGAAAGCACGGGTGACTGGTTTTTTGTTGCTTGGTGGACTTGGATCAAAAGCATGGTATGTACAGATCTCAGTCGGCTCTGTCGGTGACAGTCCTTGTTTTGGATTTCTTTTTGGGGTGTGGAGGAAGATCGAGCTCAGTCAAGAACACTTTTCTACTTAAACGTCACCCTTACGAGGTGTTGTGTGTGTGGGGAGTGTAGCTGATCGAGCTGAACCAATGGACTGGCGGGCTGGTCTTGGCGACCGGACGCCCGGTCGGCGGCATAGCATCCCGGTCGATCGTCGAAGGATCTTCTTTGGAACTGTCAGTCAGGTCTGTAGGAATAGTACTCTCAGAGTTCCTCCTAGTTTGCTGCTTCCAGTTGCTCTCTTCCTCCACCTCCCACCCGTTGCACCCTTGGCTTCGAGACCATTGCCCCGCCTACCGTGACCGCGCGTGTCCATGTGTGGCGCGGACTGAAGACGGGAAAACACGGCCATGCCGCCGGCCACGCCGGGCGTGGAGATGCTGCGGGCGGAAGAGTTGGCGACTCGGTGCAGGTTTCTATGCCCATGCAGATGAGTTCGGGTTTGATGTGGAGGAGAATGCATACTAATTACAGAGTTATACTACGATACAACTCAACATTTTTAGCGACTGGCCACCTATAGTGGATTGCCAGGTGATTGCATTTTGTTGGGTGTCTCATTTTCTGACAGGGACGTTGGATTGAGCGAAGTTGAGTTGCCTATGGCTAGATGCGCTGTGTCAATACCCCTAGCCGGATCTCCTTGTGGGCCTCCCAGAAAATCAGATCTCCATAAGTACTATAGCCGTCCCGCCAGTGCTGATAAAAAGCTTGGGTTCTCCGCATCCCAAACGCACGACCAGTTTGGTGTGTGCAAGCCGATCCGTCCGATACGTTTTGGGGTGGAAGCACTTAAACAGGGTTGGATCCTGCTATATTAAAGTTATTATTGAATAGGTTGGTGGCATCAACCACCTGAACCACCCGGTTTGCCAGCCAGAATCCCTAAACCTACACTCTGATAAACACAGCACCGTTTTTCCCGGAAAAAGGCTAGAGGGTCAGACGCTCCGATTTCGAAAGAGGCTGACTGGCAGCCGACTGCCGAACATGAGTTCGGACCAAGGAGATGAACTTGTCCCGACCTTTGCGCTACGTGGAGGATCGCTGCCTTGCCGACCGTCGCTGGGTTTTGATTCCGCCCGGTGTGGGGCGGTTCGCGAGGCGAGACAGTGGAGTTCAAGATGGAGAACCCATCAGGGCTTAAGGAAGACAATCCGATGCTCTCAATGTCCAGCCAGAAATCAAAGAGTCGCCATTGGAGCACCATCCGGGCACCACATGGCACCACCCCAAGAACTTCTGAAATCCGATTTCTCCCAACACCTACCGATCGGTCGCGCCGGTCCATGCCAGCGGATCCTTGTTCCGTCAGTGACGCCAACGCGCGCCCAGGTGTTGGATTGGCCTTCCGGGAGGGGCGGCCGTTGATCCTCCAAAGCGAGGCCAAGCCGTGGAAGATGAACCTCTTCTCGGCGCTCACGGACGCCACCAGCTTTCTCGTCGCCGCCAGGAGCGGGCTTCGCGATCTGGCACGCCGTTCGCGTGAAGAGACGGTGTTTAAATAAGGAAGTTGGGGCATTTTTTGAATGTCCCGTGGGTCGATGCTGAAAAGAGACTCCAATTCCGAAACACTGTAAATAAACAGACGCACTGTAGGTCTTTTCGGACCATTTGATGCGGCTCGTATGCTTCCGCACCTTCATTGTTTGGTGGTCCCGAACTTCTGGAGCCCCGATGAGTACTCACCTTACGTTTCAAGCAGCTAGGTCTCTCTCAATCAATGTAGGGAGCCCTCCTGCCTGGAAGACTTGCAAAAGTGACCGGAAACATGGTCACTAAACTGGACTCCACCAATCCAAACTACACCAATTTGACTTGGCGTGGCCCCCCAATTTGAGATGTAGATTCGATGGGTGCCGCCGATCTCACCTGCCCCGGATCGTCCTCGTAGATCCCATGCACCGGCGCGTGGGAAGGTACTACATGAAGCTGGACGCGGAAACGAAGCGCGAGTTCTTTCGGCCCGTCTCCGCGCAGCTCTCGAGCGCGAGCGGGTCCGTGCTGGAACCAGAAGTGGTGGAGCTCCCGGGCAAGGAGTGCGTGCACATCTCCAAAGCGATGGTTGCTTGGTTGACTGGTTGGGAACCTGGTGTCAGTGCAGCTCGAAGCCAGGTTTTTAGGGTGGCCAGACATTTCCGGTGATCAAAAGGTTTGGAAAGCTCATGGTTTCCAAGCCTGTCAGGTGATTATGTCACGGTGAAACCTTTCGGAAGCCGATTAAACTCGTAGGAAGGAGTCCACATGTTGGCTGTGTATCAAGCCCCCGCCCGCCGGCGCAGGTGGATGCACCCAGCGCCCGCCCGGGCGCCGATTGCGCCGCGCGCGCGGCCTTCCGCGGCTTTGAGCGGCTGGCCCGAGCAGTGCTCATGGCCCTACAAGCGAGCGAGCCCGGCTTTCAGCCGCTGCCGCAGGCCATGTTGTCCCGGGTGGAGGGCTTCGTTTTTGCCAGCGCATGCAATAGAGCCAGGGTGCATCTTGAAGCGGGGTCACAAGCTCCATTTGCAAGCAATTTTGGTGCGAAGTACAGGGAGACTCTGACAAACTGGCGGAACTGGAGCAACCTCAAGAGAACCACCTCTGAAGTTCACGTTCGTTCAGTCTTTCTGGAGAATCGTGTCGACATGCCGTCCTAGAAGTGAAAGAGTCATTACGATTGACCTAGTTTGAGCTCCGGAAGCGGACTGAGGCGCAGCGACTCGGATATGCGATCGACATGTTCTCCGGAGGGGCTGGCCACTCGGATGGTGAGTGGCTTCGAAGTGGAGAGACCGGTGGCACCAAGTGACCGGTGGCACCAAGTGACCCCCCAAGACCACTGGGTTGTAGACGAGAATGGTCTGAAGAACCGATGAATTCTCCAAGCACGTTCCGAATGCGGTGCACGTTCCGGCATTCCGCAGCGAAGACTTTCTCCTCCACGTGCCTTGTAGGTTAAGACTTTACTGTGTTCTGGGAGTGCCAAGGGAGAGCAGCACATGCATATGGAACATGTTGGTGCGGCACCCCTCCTAAACAGGACACTAGATGACTTTAGGGCAATGTAGAGACATGCTTAGACTTGCTTAGAGACATGTAGAGAACTCATGAACCACGATCATTGGAGTGCGTCCTTCCCCATTGACCAACGACCTCATCCGAGACGCGCGGACTGACCGAGGCACCTATCGAGACCGGCTGAAGCCCTTGATCGACGCATCGGACCAGCACGTGCTGAGCATCTTTTCCTACTCCGGCGACGCCTGCGGAGATCACGTGGACCGGGGTCTACTGACCCTGGTGACGAACCAGGACAGTTTGGGACGGACGGTTTGGGGGTCGTGAAGTGAACCGGGTTTTTGGTGTGCGAATGGTAACCCCCGAATGCTTGACGATTAGCCAGGAGCGGATTCATGGTTGAAAACCTCTCGAAATAGTGACGTAGTGCATGGTGAAACTTCCCGCATCAGTCGTGACGCTCGAGGAGGTCACCCGTCCTCGTTTGCACAGGATGGTGCCCTGCAGATTTTCCAGCATGGCGCTTGGGTGCAGGCGCGCCAGGGAAGTCACAGGCAAGGGGGCCATGGATGGGGTGTTTCTTCAACGTCCTCAATCCGGAAACCACTACTGTAGTTACTAGAAGTTGAGAGTGGTCAAATAGATAGGGATGATAGGGTGGTGCACAGTGCACCCTCCAATCTCAGGTCCCTGCCACGGAGGGGCTGGTGGTTTTCGCGGGAAAGACGCTGGAACTGCTCACGCGGGGTGCGTACCGCGCCGTGGTGCACCGCTTGGCGCCGGGCCGCGCCGCTGGGCGCACGAGCCTGGCGTTCAAGTTGCGGGCGCCCACTGGAGCGGTCGTGGAGCTGGACGGTGAACGGAGTACCCTGGGAGAGCTGCCACTCGGCGAGCTGAGATGATCTGTTCGATGGAGATGGGATGATGGGATGATGGGAATGGGAGATGGATGGAGATGGACGTGGATCTGCTCGGTCGGGGTGCTGAACGGTTTTGGAAGCATTGTAGGTGGGGAATCACACTCAGACCATTGGAATGCACCAGGAACCTGTGATTATCAAATCCACCGGTCGGCAGAAACGACGCGTACGTGGTATATAAATTTAAGTGTATTTTATGTGATAGTGTATGGTAGAGTTTATGTGTATATGCACCGTTTTCACCCATGATCCAGGTTTGAGAAGCACCTGGATCGCCCGGGCTTGTCCATCAACCAACCCAACCACCGAGCCGCACTCCAGCGCCCACTGCGCATGCCTGCGGCGGACCCGGGCGCCAGCAGAGCAGCGCCTGACACAGCGGACGCCGCGGCCAGTGCGTGCACGGGCGACGCGAAAGCGACGCAGTTGGGGCTGGGAGTGTGCACAAAGCTTGCGTATCACTCACAGGCCGTGGCGATGGGCTTCAGCGTGGTGGGTTCAATATACTACATGAATCCACTTGAGAGTGGCTGATATTTTCCCGAAGAGCTAGAAGCCACGGGCCAAAATGGGGTTATGACTTCCCTTCTTGTCAGACCTTAATTCTGTGGCCCCCACCTTATGAGTCCAAAGCCAGGCTTTGATTGCAAGTTTTGGCCTGGAAACCTGGAACTCTGGAGACAAATTGAGGCAAACTTGCCGAGGCTCTGATCGCTAAATGTTCTTTTTACTTGTCTAGCCGCCCTGCTAAATTTGCATTTGGGTCCGGTTTGCGAGTTTCAGAGGCCGAGTGACCGCATATTTGCACCTCGTGAGTTTCCTAGTCTGTGCTATTTGGGGCTGCCGGTGTCATTCGGGTGGGGTGGATATGCATGAGAGGTATGTCGCTACGAGGCGGGACATTGATCCTGACAGACTTACCGAGATCGATGACTTGCCCTTTCCTGCGGGGTTTGCGCTTGTGTAACCAAGAACTCAGAACTTGGTCACCAAGTCGGAAAGGCCGTTTTCCGAATACCAAACAGGTGGTGGTCCGCTTCCATGTTTGTTGACGGGATGGTGCATGGAAAACAGTTCATTTTGAGCTCTACTTATATAATTATGCGATGCTAATCTCCATGGTTGAACCCAGCATCCCCAAATAGATGTTTACTGGGATCCAGTGCATGCCCTGTCACAGCTCTCACTTTTTGAGACATCTATTTAGTGGTCACAGGTGGTCGCTAGATATATGCATCTGTAAGGTTCAATTCGCCCATCCCAAGGTGTCCCCCCTCCGGTCTCCCTGCAGGTCATCACGGTACCGATCTTCCACTCCCTGGAGCTCCAGAGCTTCTTGCGCTCCCGCGCGACGTGCCGCGACTGGCATCGGGATTCCACCTCCTGTGAGTGCTGTTGGGTTCGCTTCTGCCTCACCCTGGGCATTCCCTGGTTGCAGAGGCAGCTGGATTGGCCCTTATATTTGAGCGATTGGCAGAAGAAGTTCTACATCTGGAGGCATCAGAAGCCCATCCGCGCGGTTCCGCTGCGAACCCCCTTTACCATGTCCGTGGGCCCCTCGCCGGCCGTGTGCCGAACGATGCGCCTGTCGGCGGCCATCGAGAAATGGGGCTTGACCGGGTTCTCAGAGATTAAGTTCTACCGTCCGGAGGAGGGGCGAAGCCCGGTGAACTTGGACGCCCGGTGAAGGAACGACAGGTCCGGATCTGGGAGATGGGAGTTGATAGGTTGTCCGGTTGCACTGGAGGTGGTCGGAATTCTGAGATGATGGCCAAGAGAAATCAGCCACCAACAGGTTCTAGTACATTTTTCCTTCCCTTCCAAGTTGGTTTCATGTCATCATACTCCTCCTACCACGCTGTTTCCTGTCCAGTTTGTATTTCCAATCTCTGCAGTTGCGCCATCCTAGCACCTCCAACGGCGCCTGGTACGAGGAATGCTTGGGCATTTGGGATGGCGCCCTGCTGCGGCAGAGATATCAGGAAGATGACCTGGACCGGGTGGACTTCGAACGGCATGGGGGTACTGCTTGGGACCCCTTCCTGGGGGAGTTCCAGTTGACGGACCACATCAACTTCCACATTGTGATGCGGGGTGATTGATGCGCGTTTTGCGAGAGAATCCATGAACCAAAGCGAACGCTCGCCATGAAGGGAAGGCTCGCAGGTCGCGGCGGCGTTTTTCTGCCAAACCATTTGTGCCGTGCAGAGGGCTTGGTCGATGCGCCAGAGAAGCCACTGGACAGAGATTGTTGTGGCAGAAAATGAGGGCCGGGCGCTCATCAGAGAGACGATGAACATCGAACGAACATGCTTGGAACCAGTGGATCTACTGTAAATGATTTGGGCCACAAACAACATCGAACAACCAGGTGATAAACCGGGTGATTGCCGACCCCGTGGCCAGCTTGTTAGTTGGTGGAAATTGATGGACATCTGGATTGAAGTTTGGGCAAGCAAGATTCACTCCTGTCTAGTTGGAAAACGCTCCACAGAATGTGTTTGGGTCAGATGGGCAGCACCAGGATTTTCCAGGCCTGGACATTCGTGTCGACGTTCGTGTCCAGATCAACACGTTTTCTCGCGCGAATTCACTTTCCTGGTGCCCAAGAAGCACTTTCAAAGGACATCCGTGGTGCAAACATCTAAAACTGGACGTCCGGGAATTGATGTTGAGATTGACCTCCCCTCTCCCAGCGTCTCCCCGGGGTTCCCGCCAGGCGACGAATGGCTCACCCAACGGCCGAGGGCAGAAAATGGGACGGCCACGAATGGGGTGATGACAGGGGGTGAAGATCCAAGACTTGGATTCCAAGATCTGGAAGCAATGAGAAATTGGGAAGACAAGAGATAGAGACATATATATGACAAGATAGAGTCTCTCTGGGAGATGAGAGTTAGAGTTTCAATTTGATTGTAGATTATAGCCCACAAGAAGTGCTGGTAGTTGGCCGGAGCTTGTTCAACCGGGTGCAGCCCTTTGTTTGTGTGAAGCGGCTCCAGACTTTATCGGCCTGAGGGCTTGGAGATGTTAGAGATGATGACCCAGGTCACAAGGTAGAGAACCAGCACCAGCACCACGGAAAGGGGTGGTTCATTGACACGCCTGACATTGTATTTTCCCTCCCAACTCACCACCCGAAATTCGTGGTGCTGGCAGAGATTCTTTCAGTCCTCTGACTCTCTCCAGCCCCGCTTCCAAACGCCTTCGTGCACCCGGCCGCGGAGAAAGCGGGCGGCTGGTGGCTTAACGCATGGTGTGCCGCATGGTGGGCAGCCTCTGGCCTGGCACAGGTGTGTGTTCCTTTCCGGTGGGAACGGCTATTGTTCATATGGTTTCAGGTTTGACATGGTGACATGAACTGGAAAAGCTTTCATACGTTATAGAGGGTCAGTAGTCCCTGACCCACATGATTTTTGTAGTCATCACCGAACAAGCTGCTTGACCACAATTCGGTGTCCCTCACCATGCGGTGTCCGGCACCGTTCGCATCGTTGCCACTGTTGCTTTGGCCCAAACGGCCTGCCGCACCGCGGGTCTTCCAGTGTTGGCGGGCCCTGCGGTCAGGTGCCTTGTGCGGTCAGGTGCCCTGTAGGCTATCAAGCCTAAGCAAGCGCACAGAGTCGTGGATCGAAAGAAGAACCATGACGACCTGACAGGACTCCCCTTCCTGAACAATTTGCAAAGCTATAGAAAGGTATTGAAAACATCTCGGACCCTTGTCCAATGATGCCCACAGTGAGTCAACCAGTGCTCTGGCACCTAAAGGCCTAGTGGGCCGCGCCAGGCACCGGGCGCCGCCCCAGCGCCGCCCCAGCGGCGCAGATGGCCGAGAGTGAGCCGTCCCGGCCGCGACGCTTCACGCCCCTCGACTCAGTCCTTCCAGAAACCAAGGACCCCCCCCACAACAGCGGGCGTCTCGTCATCTCCGTGGAAAAAAAAGGCACCAAACTCGCAGGCGCCGGAACCAAGCACCTGTCTCCTGTCCAAACCTGGCGATTTCTCGGGTGACCAAAGCCCCTTCGTCCAATCTCCGCGTTTTCCGCGGTGCCACGGCACCGCCACCCGATCCGCAGACACCGAGGTTCTCCGAGGGCCCTGAGGCGCCCGGTGCCTCTCCGAGCGCCAGCGCGCCGTCCACGGTGCCGGTGCCGCGGGTGGTGCCGCCGAGCCTGTCGCCGAGCACCTCCTCGGGCGCCGTGCCGCGGTTAGGCGAGGGACGAGGGGAGGGGGGGAATCGAGCTGGTGGAACATGGTGAAATAGGATGAACTATGAACCCTGGCAGTCTCTGGAGGTGGTGGTTTTTGGCAGGTGGTATCTCGGGGGTTGGACATGTACTCATAGCCCAAAAGGGAGAAGAATTAAGGACCTTATTTATCATATATCATACTGTACATCTTTCGGTTCTTTCTTACAGGTCTTTGTTCGATGACGACGATGACCATGGTAGTGGTGACCATGATGCCGGCGGTCAGTTGCTTGCAGGAGGTTTTAGCAGCACCCCGCCGACGCCCGTCAGACCGTGCAGAGCCAAGTGGATCAGCCGTCACGCAGTGCACATGAACAGTCTCATATATGACTTATATTTTCAAGTTTTTCCGTCCCGATCATATTACTTGACCATGCGATAGAGATGAGACAAATGCTTTGAGTTCTGCATTTGACGATGAAACACTCGGCCTTCATTTTGGGAACCTCTCAGTTGCATGACCTGGGTAGCATCCTTCACCTCGGTGCCGGTGGACGAGTCAGTGACCTGCAAACACATCCAACTGTACTCTCAGGCAGCATGTGCCCCCGGTGCATCATTCTCAATGGTCATCGCAGCAACAGCCACAGCAGCAGCCCAGGCCTCAGGTGTTGGCAAGTAGCGCAGGGGGATTTGCGTCCGTGTTAAGTGGCCACTGAAATACTTGACATGTCCAAGATGTACAGCGAGTGGCATCCAGTGGCAGAAGGAACATCCTGACCACATTCCACATTTTGTTGTTTTCTAGGTTACTGGGAGAGACCCAGTACTTTGATCTATTTAATTGCAAGAGGAAGGTGATTTGTGACAAGACCATCAGGTGCACGCCCTCCGACCGATGCCCTGTAGATTGTACATGATGGTGCTGTAGCCCTTTCAATGAACAGGTCACTTGCTGTATACAGAGTCCATGGTTGCTTGGAGCCATAGGGCAAAAGCCAAGCAATTGAACGAAAGGCCCACGGGCCTACTTTTCTTTAAGGAGGGAACTGTGCGCAGAAAAAAGACCACAAACGGGAATTTTCGGCATGTTGGTGGTGGACTTCCTTCCACCGAAAGCCCACATCACCGAACTGCTCCGCAACGTCTAGGAGTTCCTGGGGCGGCTGGGGCGGTCGGGATGCCCAGAGCTCCCCCGAGCGATGAGTCCGGGACCATCCTTTCGATCTACCACCTTTCATTGCAACCATTTTTTCCTTGCGACTTTCGGACAACTGAAGCAAAAGAAAAGGAGGGAGAGAGACCTTTCCCTGACAATGCACCTTTCTTTTTAAATTCTTTTTGCTAGTTGTGGTTGTTGAGCGGTAGCACACATCCCAGCAGCTTCGTCTTATGTTCTTTTTTGCCATGGGAGATCAGTCAGTCAGTGGGATCGGATCAGTCTAACGTGGCGCCTGAGCTGAGTCGTCTCAGCTCACGTCTTGAGAGTTCAACGGAGATACCTGCAGTACCTGCCGTCTGGGTCGGAAGAGATGGATCAGCTGAATTTCATCTGGGTGATTCATTCGACCCTCCATCCAGCACTGCAATAGTCCGTTCGCATATCCAAACAGTGAGCATGATGAGTATGGGCCCCTCTCATTTTCACACTTTAAGCTGATTCCTGAGATCCTCGTGTGTAGGGGAATCAGTGGCGTCGCGCTTGTCGCGCGTTGCAGGTGATGGCTGGGGAGGTCCGCGGAGGGGCGGAGGTAGTGGGCGGGGAGGAGTCACGCAGCGGAGCATTTTGCAAACCGGGGGCCGGGAGATTGGACAAGTTATGAGTCCCGAATCACTAACATGGGAGTCGGAGGGTAGACTTCGGATTCTGCTTTGTGGATGTCCTTGCCATGTGTCTCATGGGTTCAACCAACCGATTCAGCACCTATCCAAGAATCGGTTCAGCATGTCAACAAATATCAACCGTTTGCTGGCTTCGTTGCTCTTTGCACACGTGCTTCGTTTCTTCGTTGCTTCGTTGCATGTGGCGCCGCATGTGCGATGCCCTTGGGGTTTCGCAGGTGATTGGGGCTGGGAGGATTCTCCCTGTCCGGGTGCCGAGTGTGAGATGAAGGTTTCTGAAGGTTCTACGCCACCACTGTAGATGGCGCAAGGGCCCCCAAGTTTGGTGGTTAGTAGTGGACCCCCATGTTTTTGGTTTGTGAAATCTACTTTCTTCATGGGCCTGGATTGAGAGAGGATGATTGTCCTAAGACCTCGTGGAGGAGGAAACATATACAAGACAATACTCATTGCTTTGGGGTCTATTCTAGTACCTACTCGAGCTGTGATCATGCTCATGGGACACGGTATGACGGCGCTGGCCACGAGCCGCTGGCCAGCTGGCTCCTTAGGCGCTGCAGCTGCTGCCATGTGGGCGGCCTGGGGCAAGGGAGGCGCGGAGGACGCAGAAACGGATCTAAAAAGAGCGGAATGCGAACGACTCAACGGAAGATTGCTCGTGAATACATGGATCGATCCAGTGTGATCCAGTAACAGATGGAGCATTTTTTTTTGATCCGTGGACATGGATCAGTGGGCAGGTGGATCTCAGTGATTTGTGTTTTGTTAAATTGCGGATCAGTTTGGTGCTTGGAACATTTCACATCTACCTCACTTTCACAGCTGTGCTTTCGATATGTTCACACCCGGGCCGGGCTTGGGGTTGTGTGAAAAACCGCCAAGCTCCTCAAGACTGTATCCCGGCCTTCGTGTAAGAACTTCCGAACCCCACCTCAGGATTCGATGCTGGCGCCAGGATATGCCAGGTCGCTGGTATACAGTAAGTAAGTGGCTAAATGAACTCGACTTCCCGCTTCGAAGTGGGTTTGGGAGCTGTTGAATGGAGCTTCAAACGCTAGCTAAATCGACAAGCCAAGGCGGAACCAGAGTATTTTTGGGGGTCTTTATTTTTTGGAGAGCTTGGACTACTAGGTTTTAATATTGGCAGAGCGACAGATCTCTGAATATCGTTGTACCATCATCCTGGGTACAACCCCAATGCGCGACTCACATGCAGATCTACGGTTACAATATTATGTTACCATCATGGTAACATGTTTCCACCAGTTTTGGAATAATGTGTCCACAGTGTCGTTATATAATTGCCATTAGAGTGCCTAGAACTACTGAGGTGTTTCCAGTAGTGATTCTATACAATGGTTCCAGTACTCATGAACATTACTCATGTAGCCACAACATGCCACAACTATTTCAACTTGAGAATGGCCCATGCATCCATGTACTTCAACCAGTAAAACCTCGTGGGGTGACCTTGGCCCAGGCGGTGGCTTTGGAGGTCCTCCAAGCTGCGACGGGTGCGCCCTGCATGGTCGTGTAACGGAGCGATGGTCCTAGCTCTCTCCCCACATGAGACCTGTCCGGTGGGTCTCCGCAACCAAATTCAAGCACCGGGCTCTTGTGGAATCTTGGTGGTGCTAAAGCTGAAGACCGACGACCAGCGTAGTTCGGAAAATCGTGCGGGTGCATGTTTACACAACCTTGAGAGCGGGCAACTCGCCCTAAACAAAAGCACAAAACTTCAGACATGGCGGTCAACAATTGAATGTCGGGCGAATGGGGTAGCTTAATAACCAAGAGGCAGTTTTGTCGGCTTTGGTCAACCATTGAAGTAGTGACAATGCACCTGATTTTCGTTGGTGCTCTTGAGCAGCCTGTCTCCCTTGATCGGACCTCCATAGCGTATTGATCTATTCATCGCGCGTACGCATGCGGACCTCGCCACCCACCGACACCTGTGACACTGGACCTCACCACTGGCGCCAGGGGCGTGAACATGATGATCGGCACTGTGAAGAGCTACAGTGCCGTGAAGGGCTTCGGGCCGGGGGCTACAGTGCCGGTGACCCGGGCCCTTTTTGACGTATTATATACCTACTAATTATGCAGTTCTGCAACTGCCTAACCAGTAAATGCCCCCCAACAACAATGAAGAAGACTCCCTCTTCTAGTTGTGCAGGTTCGTGCGAGAATTTTATCTAGTGGAGCAGATAAAGGAAGGAATCTTATCTCAGAACAAGTCGTGTGGCAGCTCGTTTCGTCACACAAAACCACGTGTCAGCACCCACACAGGTTCTTCACCAACAGTTCTTTCCACCGGTGGGTGCTTCTTCTCGTGTCCTGGTCCTGTCGAGGTTCATGATCCATCCGGACATTTCGCAGGAGCCCTGTGGGTGGCTGGGGAAGATCCTTTTTTCATTTCGGTGGAGCTGGTGGCTGTATCCATTGCCAGCAACGGTCGGTAAAAGAAGATTATGGGGGAAAGGTCTTTACTAACTATCATCGTCATCGTCATCGTCATCGTCATCATCATCATCATCAACATCATCATCATCATCCACTGCCACTGGCAATGGAATATACCCAAGATAGATGCTTCCTGGTGGTGGCTTGGTAGCCTAGCTTTGTGGTGCGTGGATTGGTCAGTGTCAGTGTCTTTGGATGAGTTTTGTTGTGTTTCTTTTGGTGGCGGTGGTTAGCAGGAGGATTCCCTCCGGATGCCTTCTAGCCACTCCCCAGAATTCGTTCTGGGCCTGGGAGGACATTTGGTTTGCAAAGGAAACCGTGGCCGCGGAATACAGGACCGGGGGGGGCGGGCTAATCTCATGGAGAGGGCGATGGAGAGAGATGTTTTTCGGTTCAACTTCAACATACTTCCGAATCACAGAACGCTACTAGGGGCCAAGGACGCTACTAGGGGCTCCTGGCCTTACTACTTGGAGCGATCGGACGCTACTAGGAGCACAGGTTGCGACGCGTGAAAAAGAGAGAATCGTTTTGGGACCTCGAGGGGGGTGACTAGTGGATCTACAAAGGACTGTGCCGAACTCTGTGTGGGTGCCGACCACTCCCAGCGTTTTTGAGCATCATATGGCCATCAAGATCCATCAACAAAGGCATGGCTGGAAAGTAGAAACCCAAATCTCAAATCAAGGATGCTTTGCTGATCGCAAGGTACTTGCCCAGTTCTGACTTGAACGTGGGATAAAGCAGAATTTCTCCTAGCCATGCCTCGAATACAGTGTTAGTGTATATTTCCATGTTATTCTTCTGCCACACTTTTTTCCCGCTGGTTCCGAAAGCCTTAGGAACGAACCCGGAACTGTGAGGCCACCAGGGTCCAGTTCGTCGACCTGTTCCGATCATTCTTTATCGGTTTTTCGTCTCGACCTACTCAGTCAGAGGATCACCACTGGGTTGCCCCAATCCAATGTGGTGGAAGTCACGGTGAGCGTGGGCGGTGACGCGACCTTGGCGATGGGAGGACCTCGGATCTCGCGGGCACCACGATGAGCTTCGAGATCTTCCGGGCGCCGGACGGCAAGCCGCAGGTGGTCTTGCTCGTTGGGGCGATTCAGAACCGGGCGGTTCTGGGAGGGGGGACCTGGGGTTTGGGAGTCCTGGCGAAAACATTTATTCAATCTTGTTTGCCTTTACACATTGACACCCTCACTGCACAAGAAGAAGCTGAGCTTGCTTTTTGTTTTGGCACCAGATATTTGAAAGAGGGTCCCACATGAACCCCCGTGATTTCCAACAATCATGTCGGACAAGAACTTGAAGAGACTTGTAGTCACTATATGACTATTATATATGTCACCATATAAATCTAGCGACTTAAACGATTGTCAGTCCCAGTCTAGTCAGCGTCCTGCTGGGTGTCTACTCGTTGAATCATCGGTCCAGGCCCGAAATCTGCGGCCTGCGCCTGTCAGGGCCCAAGCTGATGGGATCGCTATCCAAAAGAAAGCAGAATCGCCTGCTTCACAGCTAGGAACGAGCTCGCATGCCAAAGTTGTACATCCTGGCCCAGATTTGTGAGAAGACTTCTCCAACATCTTTGAACATATTCAATGCGGCACTTGAAGCACTGTGTGTTTCTACCCCTCAGATCTCCCCTGCACCGTCACTTTCTGTCACTTCCGTCACCTGTCACCCGTCCGAAATGCTGCTTCACCCAGGCCGGTGTCGGCATGCCCCCACCTCCGGTGAACCCCAATCAGCACATGCCAGCGGCGGGGACACCGAAGGGCACTGAAGGGGTCTGAAGGTCATTGGTTTTCGCGTTGAAAGGGGCCCACCTGCGGGACGGACCGGTTTTATAAGTCTTATCAGTGGCGCTTTCTGCTGGTCCGTGAGGGTGTGGAGACCTTATGAGTCGCAATGGGCGTTTCCTTCCTTTTTGTGGTTGCAAGATGTTGCACGGAGTTTTCGGTTGAACATAGTTGAGCGAACAGAACCACGTGGGCATAGACATGCATTTTCGCATATGTTCGCGGTGTTTTATAGAGGCTTTTGGGCATCCCTGGGCAGGAGGTCGCATATCGAAGGTTCTTGGCGAATGACCCTGATGTGACACAGATGCATCAGCCACGACTTTGGTGGAGAACGATGCAACAGGCTTCTCTACCGGGCCGGTGGGGGATTGGTAGATTGTCCCCAACTGTCCCATGAACCGGCTTTCGTACATGGGCTTCGCCACCGCGAGACATGGCCGTTCTCCGAGGGCTTCCCGACGCCTGTGCCGGGGCTGGTCCGCCCGGGCTTCCCGCATCCTCTGCTGCGGCCGGGCTTTCCCAACCCCCTCCTTCGGCCAGCAGGTGCACTCGACTGATTTCGCCGCGCGCGTACTTGGACGAAGACAGGGGATGACGGGGTGGTGTATTTTTTGGACCCCAAGCTAAGGGTTTTTGGTCTTTGTCATTTCACGCATGCGTCTCATTATGGCTACCCTCAGCTAAGCGTAAGGTAGACATGATAATTAGATCCTCAGCTACAACAGCAAGACGCTGGGACGCCTTCAGGTTCTTGGCGCCGTTTATGAAAGAACGGCATGACAAACGGATGGTCCGTTTGGCAACACAAACTGGCCCAACCCATGGGTTTTGATCTATGACCCTTCTTCCAGGGGATCAAACTGGGAGGCCTCCCCTTTTCATACACAGATCCCAGGGTGGCTCTCAAGCTGTTTTGGGCCACCTCCCACATGTATTGGACACGAAGTCCAAGACAACGAACGTGTATTCTGAATGTGCAGCCCTACCTACTGGGGCCCTACTCTTCCTGGCGTCTTTTTTGGTAAACAACTCCCCGAACAGCGGTGGCAGTGGCAACCTTCATCAGGTTATTCCTCAATCCTGCTCAATAATTACTCCTTATAGGTCTCGTGCTTTGCCAGTCCCGCTTCATCAGAGGTGCCACAAAAACATCCACCTCCAATCCCTCGAAAAATGCCTTCGCTTCGAGTTCGCGTTCGCTTCGCAGTGCCTGGTATGGCGGTGCCGAGTCAGCCCAAACGACGGGCGTGGTCGCCACACGCATGGGCGCCCGGATGGTGGAGAGGGTCGTCGGTGTTGGACGAGGGAGGAGCGTGGCAAGAGGCCCTATACTCAGCTCAAGGGTTGTAAGAAAGAGCCTTCCAGCTTGTGGGGTGCTCAGAACCGAGCTTGAACCTCAAGCAGCACTAGTGGTCCTTGAGGCCGGTTCGCGGGCGATTGCGACGGCCTCAATGGACGAGGAGGTGCGTGACCGCGAAGCACCGTTGGAGCCGGAAGCAACGCGTTGGAAGCTGGGTAGCCACAGGGCGCAGGAGAAGGTGTCCCTTATAGAACTGTACAACGACATTGCACGGATGCCACATCATCCTTTCAAGGCTTTTCTTCAGGTTGACCTGCAACCACGGCAAAATGTGGGCCAGACAAAGCAGGATTTGCCAATTTTGCGGCTCCAAATCCACCCGCCACTCAATAACAGACATGCCAAGATATCCCAAGCATTTCTTGGTGCATTCAAGCTAGTTTATGGTTCATAGACACTCATCCAGCTCTTTTTGAGAACTATCCTGGCCCCAGAGTTGTTGCAGTTTCATTTTCACCTTGTACCTGGAAAAGTATCATAATGCTGGCTCCCTGCGGTCGTTGCTGTGCTCGGTGCTGAACATGCTCAACATTCAGCGCCGTTCTCTGACTTTTGGCCTCTCAGCATTTGCGAAGGAAGGATCTTGAAGGCAATCCGGACTGGAGCCCAAGCACCAAGCACTCAATGGTTGCAGAAAGCATCAACAAAAACTCGGATCATGCAAAAGAAGGACCAAAAGAGAACGCCAAATCAGCCACACAGAGGTGTGGGTAGTCTGAGAAAACGATTACTGTATATAACCCATTAACCCCAAGGGAAGAACAGATGTCAACTGTTGTTTTCCTTGGGACTCGAATGATTTGAGGTTTGAACATGTTCGGACGTATGCTGGAGGTGTGGGTCAAGTGCCCAGCAGTGATGGATTAGCTCAGCTAGCACCGCTCTTCCCGGCCACGGGCGTCGCGGCGCCGTGCCATGTCCGGCGCGGACGACGCGTCGTCCGACGCGTCGTCCGACGAGTCGTCCGCGCCGACGAAGCGGCAACGCCTGGAGGCGGCTGGGTGGCGGGTGCCGGTGGAAGGAGGAACCGTAGAGGAACCAAGGTGCTGATTGATAAGCAGAGGGAGAAAAGGGCCAGAGAGCAGAGGGAGAAAAGGATCTTTTGGGGAGCTGGGGGCATGCATGAACCATTTGTTGCTCGAGTCCTACTTTGTATTCGTCGAGCCACTTATATAGCGATAGAGGCCGTGCTTTCAAGGACAAAGGCTTCACGTTTGTTGGAGAGCACTCCCGTTGCTGAAGAAGGCAATGCCAGCAAAGGATACTGTGCCTCCACAAGCCGTTGTCTTTTCTTGGCCGTATCATGGAAACCTGAAATATATTTTGCCACTGACTTATATTTTGAAAACAGAACAAGTGCTCTTGCTTTTGTAACGTTCTGCGAGGGTGCTTTTTCCATGTGACTCGCGCCTTTGGACCTTGTGAAAAATGGAGGTACCCGGAGCACTCTCCACTCTCTTTGGTGACCGCGTGGAGGACCCGATGGCCCATGGCGGGCGCCGGCGCCGGGTGGCACATGTGGAGGGGAACTACGCAACGTTGGCGCCTTGGGCGTGTATTGTGTTTCTTTTTTCAATAGGGGGAAGCCTACAACCAATGGGTTTTAGACGGTTTTGTTTGTTTTGGTCCATTGCTGTTCGGTTTCCCTCTTGTCAGGGGGTCTTTGGGGAGCCTTTTAATATAGAGGCTAATGGGAGGACCTCGAGGGAGTGGCTATCCTTGAGTCACCTGGATCCCCTTAAAGGGGTGGGGAAGCGCTACTGAATCATTTTGGAGTGACAAAAGCAGTGACAGTTATATAGTCTTACAAAAGGTTTTTGTAGGGAACAAGGCTAGGCCACCGGAAAGATGCCTATTGCTTATTGGCCGCAAGGTGCTTCCGACCAAGCACCCAACATTCCCCCCCCCCGCAAACCACTTATCCCTGCCGCTACGCGACTCTGGTTTTGCTGTTTTTGATTGTTTTCCAGAGTGCATCGCTCTCCAAATGGCCTGGGTCAGGTCTTTCTGCCAGTGCGGCCTACGTGGCTTGGGTTGCAGATTGCGGGGGGAATCCATGCGGCACCTGGCGAAATCTGCAAAAGTGTCTGGGGGGAAAGACCAACTCTGACAATTGCATGCCAGGACCACCGGTGCCTTATAATCAGAATAATCAGAACAAATACATGTATTCAAGACGTCGCAGTTGTTCTCGCAATCCTTTGAGCCATTGCTCGCTTTTTCCCCACCTGTCAGGTGAGGGTTGTTAGATTTTATGTCAGCTGCCTCCTCCTCCTCCTCCGCCTCCTCTTCCTCCTGCTCCCCATCCTTCTCCTCCGCCTCCTCAACCGCAAGTGTCGGATGGCAGTGTTCCCCGCCGGACCTCAACCGCCAGCTCCGGATGGCAGTGTTCCCTGCCGGACCTCAACTGCGAGGGTCGCGTGGCAGTGTTCCCCAACGGAACCCAACCGCAAGTGCAGGAGGGCAGTGTTCCCCGCCGGACCTCAACCGCAATCTTCGGCGGGTAGTGTTCCCAGCCGGACCTCAACCACGAGTCAGACTCACAGATAGAACCCCAGAAAGACTGTCAGAAGATATGCCAGAAAGAACTGCAGAAAGAATGTCAGAAGATATGCCAGAAAGAATGCCAGAAGATATGCTAGAAAGTATTGCAGAAAGAATGTCAGAAGATATGCCAGAAAGAATGCCAGAGCATATGCTGGAA